TTGGATGTGATGTTTGGGGTTATTGTGTATGTTGGTTGTGTTGCTGTGTTGATTTGTGTGTGGTTGTGTTGTGCTGGGAGAGCTGTGTGGATTTGCACAGGGGGCAGCTGGGCCTACAGGTTTGTCAGCTGGCCCAAGTAATCCACCCTCTATGCAGTGTTCCTCATACAGCCAATGAATTTGTTGCATGCAAGTTAGCTGTAGAAAAAAGGTGGTGACTGGTTGAGTTTCCCTGAATATTACAATGGTCTAGGAGTCTGGGCAGGGCCTAAATACATGCCCTACTGTACCTGTGGGAGTAATTCATAAATTCAAAATGGCTGAGAATTTAAAAACTGGATGGTAACAAACCACAAAACCTAATGATTTTTCCACCGGGTGATACTCTGAACAAAAGGAGCTCAACCTCGCTTGTTGTCACTTCCCTCCCTTCCCACTGACTCAGCAGACATGTTAGGTTTCAGAGTGACGCACAGACGGACATTCCTGGAATTTTATTTTATAGATTTAAGACGCCAGAGTTGAGTTACAAAAATTATAGAAAGAATCTGTATGAAGAGTAAAAGATTAATCCTACTGAATTTATCTGAACCTGCTTGGGTAAAGTGGGGAGTGCAAACGCCAGTTCAGTCCCCTGCCACAGAAACTCTCCCCACTGAAGCAGAATGTCATCGTCATAATTCGCTAGCATTGGCTGAACAAACCCAAAATGCTGGACATTGTTACTAGCTCCTTGTGAACAGAGCAGCCTTTACAGCTGTCAAAGAAGCTTTCATGGGTGTCAACTACACCACAAATGAACTAAAAACAGCTTATGTTGAGAATAGATTCACACCTGAGCCCATTTGAGAACACTGCAGGATTATTGTACATGCCATTAGAGTCAATTATGTAGTTATTTTATGGTATAACACTTAATTTTGTTAAATCCTAGTTACTTAAAAAGTTGACTAATTTGTCTGTGCATTTCCTGGCAATTAGTTAATTTCTGTCACTGTATTAAGGAGTTCAAGATCACAGACAATCAAATTAATCACCTCAGGAAATGGAGGTGACTTTTCAAGGTATTTACCGAGGAATAACAATGAGCTGGTAGGACATTGGGGCATTTGAGGTTAATGTCATCGGAGTTATATCAATATCCTTGGGGTCAATGAGAGGCTTCAAGGTAAAGTTCTGCAAAATCGTTGTCAGTAGCAAAAATAGCTGCATCCGAGCCAGACCCTCTCCCACGCAACTCCGTTTCCCTGCAATGAAAAAGGAATATTGAAGAGATGCTGGAGATCTTTCTTTGCAGCATTTTACATGCTGTTTCTATGGACGGAGGATAATGGAAGTCACTCCGAGTTCAGGATGGTAGGAAAGCATTTGGGGCTTAAGAAGCCATTCAAAGATTGTTATAAGGTTTGAGTTCCATATATAAAGCGATCTTTTTTAAATCCAGGTTGGGAAGATGTGGGATTTGAGGAATAGTTTATGCACTTCCCAAGTTAGCTAATAAGTGTTAAGGGGCAAGTAATGTGGTGGTTATTGTGTAACAAGTAAGGAGGTGCGGGCAGGATCATGAGTAGGTGGATGAAGGAATAATTGATCATGCATTCATTTACAGCAGACAGACACCAGAAAAGCATGAAGTTGCCAAGCAGAGCAAAGAGAGGAGTATGTGTAGTGCGTCTGAAAAGTCACTTCAGACAGCTAGCAGGAAGTAACATGGTTTAAAGACTGATAGATGTTTTACTAGAGTGAGAGACTCTTCTTCATGGACCACCTGAAAACCCTCTGCAGACAGTGTGAGCCAGTAGAGTCATCAAGGCAAAGCTAGAAGACAGTCTGAGATCTGAAATAAACATGGATAACTTTACCTATAGAAAAAGGCATGAAGAAGTCACTCTTCTTGAAGGCACCATTTTCATCCAAGAAATGCCCTGGGTTAAATTGCTCTGGCTTTGGAAATTCCTTGCTGTCATATAGGACTGACTGCAGTACAGGGAATATAGTGGTGCCCTAAATTAGTAAACATATAAACAGAGTTAAAGTGGATACTATCCAAACCAGAGAAACCTTCAAAATTCAGAGCTGGACAGTGGGACCCATCTTGATTTTTCTTTATTTCCTTGCAGCTCCTGAACTTCATGTTTTCAACCAGAAGTAGAAATATTAAAATTCCATGAGAAGAGCTAATCCCACTGAAGTCCCATCCACAGGGAAATCCTGAAATCTCTTCAGAGAGGTTGTTCCTATCTGATCATTATCCTGAATTCAACATCAAAAAGTTTGGGGAGAGTTTGGCTAAGATCTAGAAATTTCACTTGCACCTCTGAGCTGATGCTCTGAAGCATTTGAGGTTTCCTGGTCAAGATACTGTATTGATCACACCAACAGTTTCCCCATAATTCATAATTAAGCTAAAAGCCCCATGCAATTTTACAGTGAAACTCAGTCAGCAACCCCGCCCCGAGTATGGAGAGTTCTGGTGCATTTTAACACCTCAACAGGTTCAGAGTTTGGTGGAGATTAGAACTGGGTAAAATTTATCAGACAAATACAGTTTATCCACCAGAAATGCAGTTTCAGCTGATCTGAAACTATTTGCAAATTTGACCCAATTAGTTTTGTCTGGGAAAAAGTTCAGAAAACATATATGAGTCGGGGTGTGTGTCTTCCTATAACTTTTAGTCCAGAGGCTAAGGTACTTGGGATGTGAGAGATGCAAGTTTGAATCCCCAATTTGGAGCAGCAATTTGAACTCAGCTCTTCCCCCCCCCCATCCAAAATGAGGATTCTAACCTCCAAGCTCTCAGATATTCCAGGATAGGCTCCTTTCAATCTGTCCTTAGGAAGCTGTTCCACTTTTTATTAACATTTAAATATCCACTGAGCCAGCGAGAATGACTCTATAGCCTGGTGAGAAAGGCACTCACCTGGGAGGCAGGAGATGTGGATTCAAATCCCTCCTCTGAATCAAGCAGAGGGAAGATTTCAATCCACATTTCTTAACTCCCAGGTTTTTGGCCTAATGAAAATACAAAGTGGAACTGCTTGACCAGGAGGACTTGAGAACAGAATAACCTAAATGCCGGTGATTAGGGCACTCAGCTGGGAGGGGGAAGAACTGTGCTTGAGTCTCTGCTTCACTGAATATTTAAGTATTGATACAAAACAGAATAGCTTCAGCAAGAGAGATTGAGGACTCACCCCAGCATAGTCTATAGCCTGGTACTTAGGATATTCACTGGGAAAATCTGAGTTCAAGTCCCGGCTCCAGAGTGGAGGTACAAATCTAGGTCACCCACATCCCAGGAAAGTGCCCTATCCACTGGGCTAAAGCGTTAAAGAAGGGTGATAAAACCCACACCAAGATTTCTGAAGTAGACCAGATTTTTCCAACTTGCTGACAAATTGCAAAGATTTTCAGAAGCTAAATGAATATTTTTTCTGATTTTTTTTTGGCTTGCTGGCTGAACTGAGTTCAGTAACTGGCATCATCCGACTAACAGTAAGAGCCCGACTC